CCCACCCACCACACACACACATCTCAGCTCCTTCATCGGTTTGACAATTACACATTTACTTTTCACCATCCACTTCTTCGCCCCTCCACTCGACGCTTCTTTATCCCCCCGTCTCTCCCTCCCTGCAGACGTCTTTCCTCTAATTCTGCRTGGGGGGCTACAAAAGCCCATTCTGCTGTTTTAGTGGGTTAGCTCTTCTTTCCTCTCCTCCCCTCTTCTCCACRTCTCCTCCTCCTGTTCCAGGCTCACAGCAGGTGCCCCTCCTCGGCTAACATTTGTTATCTCTAATCCTGCAGGTTCGGCGCACAAAAAGASCGTAGTAAACTCTCTCTCAGACCTAATCCCACCACTCCTTTTTTGATGGCACTCCCCCTCATCTCCTCTTTTCTCACTTCACTATCGCTCTTTTAGGCTACTAGAAGGAGGGGGGGGGGGCACTCCATTCCTCTGATTGCCACATAGCTTTTTTTTTTTTTTATCACCACGGCCTTCAATTTTGGGGGCAGCTGTTGGAAGTGGGGGTGTTTTTTTCTCTTCTTCTTCAGTTCTTTATACCTCTGATTCAAACTCTTTTTTCCCCCCTTTCTCACTCACTCTCTCCCCTGTTTCCTTTTCGGCCCCCTTCTCCTCCACTCTCTGTATCATTTACAGTCATTTTCTGGCAATTAAAATGGAGYGCTGCTGCAGGATTTTCGCATGCAGCGCAACACTACAGCGCTGATGAATAATTCTTCACCCTGCAAACTGGAAAGCTAGCCTTTCTTTCATGTCACCCCTTTGTTGATTTACCATTAAAACTTACTGCACCGTGCTATGAGTGGAGGGCCCCGCTCTGCGGGAAGTGGCAAAAAAGCAGAAACGAGGATGAAGCAGATACTCGAACATTTGCTTTAGGGTCTTTTTCTCAGCCTAGATTGAGGAGGTCTCTCAGTTACACACGTGTTGTATATGTTTGTGTTTGTTGTTTAGATTTATAGCGCATGCAGCCTCTTTATTTATGTCCACTGTCCTGTTTGGTACCACTTAGGTWTTATGTTAATTTTTCTTATCAGCTGTATTTGTTATGGGGCCTTGCTGCATTGTGTGAGTGATTAGGTGGTCATTTATCTTTGTGTCTTCTTCAAACTCGTGCACACACACACACACACACACACACACACACACTGAGCAGTGACTGATGTGTGAAGGCTCCAGCTGCAGGAGCAGTATGGGTCTCCATCGGGCCGCCTCAGCTCTTGGGTGTAACTTTGTTGCTCTTAAATACGTGTTTCGAAAGTGTTGTTTACGTTTCAATAAGTCATGTTAGATAAAATTAAAGACATGGAGTTAAAACATTTAAACGAAACAAATAAAGCACATAAAAGTCAGCATTAGGATTGGGCAATATTGGCAAAAAAATTAATCACGATTAATTGTGGTATTTAGCCGATAACGATTAATTTGACGATTAATTCCCTGGAGTACCTGGACACCCTTATATCCTAGTCACATGACCAATTTATAGGGACAAAAATGGCTCTTCATAAAATTCGCTTCCAAATTGTGTCAAAATTACGGACTTCGGGCTATACATCAAACTTTAAATTGTGTTGATAGATAAATAAATTACACAACTTTTTTTAATGTTGGTCATACAGTATTTGAATCAGAGAGGAGCACCAAGCGGTCAGTCTGCCTGATGGCATTAATCGTATTAATCGTCAAGTGCCAAAAATTAATCAATTAATATTTTTCTGACGATTAATTGCACACGATACGATTATGCCCAACCCTAGTCAGCATTTTGTTTCATTAATTAAGTGAATTATTATTCCTTCGGACTGTCTTCACTTTAAACCTGTCAGTTCTTTAAATACTTTAAAAATGAATTTTTATGCACAGAAAACATTTATTTCACACACTAACTAATTAACTGACTAACTAAACAAAGAAATAAACAAATAAACAGATGCAATGTCTTCCTCGTATCACTTGGGGTGCTAGATCAGCAAAATGTGATTTATCTCCTCCTTTTACTAGTTGTTTTTTTCTGCAAATGAGCAACAATGTTACTGAAAAATACATTTTTTGTTAAAAACTAAAACACTTGGTTGTCGCTTTTGATCATGAATGTGTAAGTCAATAAAAATATATAGTTTACTTATTATTACCATAAAAACAGATTCAGAATAACAAACAGTAACTAGAACTGCAAAGCAGTTATGACCGGGGTCCAAGCCCTTTTATGCATGTCAGCCTTTGTCATGTTGTTTGTAGCATATTGTTGATCTTTTAGCGAAGTTTGAGTATCAGAATTGTTTGTTATATATCACATACTTTATGCTGTGAATACT